GCAACTCGTCATCACCGTCTTCAAGATCATAGTTTTCTTCGCCTCAGCTGGGAAAGTTTCATCGTCGATGTCGACGTCGTTGGAAAATTTTAGAGGGAAATTCTCTCCCCCTCCAAAACTCATTTCAAATTATCACAGTAACATCATGAAAAAAAAGAGAGAAAGGGTATTATGGTCTTCACATGTTTTAAACTCTTGGATTTTGTGTTTTGGGGCTCAGAGAATTGACTTTGCTTTTGGGGGTTATGGGAGTGTTGAAAAGGTCTTGGGGGTGGGCGGAATACTTGTAAGAAAATTGGGGGCCAGAAGCAATTTTCCCTAACTTTTATATGGTATTGCAGTTAAAAGTGTAGTGAATCAAATTGGTTACTATTAGGATTTGTTTGGATATCATGGTATTTTTCTTGTTGTGTTTTTATTAAAAAAAACATCATGGTATTGTGTTTTCCACCTAAAGTGTTTGTAAAATACTATGCTGAGTGTTTTTGGTCAAGATTTGATTGACCAATTATAACATTAGTGTTAAATATATTATTAATAGTAAGTATAATAGAATATAATATTGTATAATGTATTATAATATTATATAAAATTTTAATGTATTATATTACATTATAATTATTACATATTATTTTTAAATAAAAATATATTTAATTATATTATTGTATCAGATTATTATATTATAAATATATTTTTATTATATTAACATTTGTTAGCAATAATTTATTTTACATTATAATACATTATATTATTTATCATATAATATATTAATATTTTATATATTATATTACACATACTATATAATACATGCTATATAATATGTTATTATTATTTATTATTGTATTACTTATGTTGATGTACTAGTGATCACACAATCAATATGTATTCGTGTTTGGATGAGTTTGTTGAGGATTGATGAGAGACCACTTTCTTCCCCGACTTTATGTCTGGTTTTTGAATTGGGAATCTGAGAAATCTGCACATGTAGATATTTGTGAGAGGATGAGGCTTGGTTCCCTCTTTGTACCTCAGATGATCAAGTTAGCTGATAAACTTGAGTCGGGTAAATAAGAACTATGAGAGTTCTTGTGCGTATGCAGTATGATTTGCAATTTCAGAGAATTTGAATTAGAATCAGATCCTCGGTCAGATCTTCCCTTTTTCCGTAAAGATAAAATAGTACATATATTTATACCTAGGGTAGATTGGCCACTTCGACCGTCTGTAGGAAGGCGGTGGTAAAGTGTGGGCTGGCAACTATGTCAGCGCTTGCTTACAGGTGTCAGCTGGCGAGTAGGGCAAGTATCACTTCAGCATTAAACGAGAAGTGAGCGGTGACATGACAGTGGTCCATGTGGTCCGATGAGTCATGAAGACTATCGAGGCTAGAGGCATGATGCGCCTGCCATGCATTAAATGCGATATTGACACGTTGCCAGTGAGGATAGGCTCGAGGAAGAGGTTGTCCTTTAGCTTCGCCGAGAAGTAACGTCTTTTGAGTCGTCTGGCAAACAGTCAAGTGGGCTTATGGTGAGTCGTGTTCGACAAAAGGGGGCGACAAGTACCGCCTTTTGAGTCGACATGAGGGGGTGTCGACTCGATAGGTCGGCTGAGTTGTCGTCTCTACAAGTCTCTAGCCGCCAAGTTGATTGGGGACATAACATGCAAAAGTATAATTGTCCGTTGTTCGATACTGAGTTGCACTCGGGCGAATGAGAACACCATAACAACTTTGACTATATTATTATGTAATACATTATCAACATTTTAAATATTAGTATTAATATGTTATTATATTATTATATAAGGTATTTTAATTATTAACATATTATATATTATTTAAAAAATATTATTAATATATTAGATTAACTATAATATAATATAATATAATATAATATAGTAAAGATGTTGATAATAACTATATATTAATTATATTTAATGTATTATGTTAGATGTTATATTAACACCTCAAACTCAAAATCAAAACACCACACTCAAAACACCTAAAATATGTTTTGAAATAAGTGTTATGTTTTTTGTTTGAGAATGATCTAGCTCAAAAATATTATAGTTTCTAAACGCATGGTGTTTTGTTTTTGGCCAAAACACAATAGAAATAAGAAAAACACTATGGTATCCAAACAAAGTCTTACTTACTACTATTACCTATATATATCACAGATTGTAAAGAAAGAGATCATATTAGCGATGTACCTATATGCGAATCTAACTTTTCAGCAAAAGAAGTATTAACATGAAGTTAACCAGTCAAAATATAATGTTTCTTATAAAACATTTTATTGTTTTTTCTCTCATCGAAGGTGGTCTTGAATTGGAGACCCTTGTGCAGTTCTTGGATTCATCTTAAAGAGCTTATATAAAGGAGAAATTTTAAAATAGATCCATTTAAAATTTTATTCTCCACAATCGTCTCATTTGAAATTTATTTACAAAACCCGACTTAGTTTTGACCACGTCAGCAGCGTGGGTTGAAACTGAGCCGATTTTAAAAAAAACGCTTTCTTTTTAATTAGTCGGGTTTGCCAATCTCGACTAATTAGACACTAGTTTAATTACAAAAGTTAGTACTATGGACTGAAACTACAGTTCAAAATAGTAATGGTTACCAACCTCGACTATTTAGAAGGTTAATTAATCAGATTACTAATTAGTCGGGTTTGACAATCTTGACTAATTAGAAAGAAATCTTCTAACATGGTTAAAACCGGGTCGATTTTTTGTGCATATGTTTGAAATGGGGCGATTCTAGTGAATAAAGTTACAAATGGGTCTTGTAGGCACTAAAAAATGCCAAGAAACAAGAGAGTGACGAAGCTTGTCATTGGTAACGAGGTTCGAACCTCGTCACTGAAGCTCATTCAAAAAACGAAGTTCGTCAGACAAAGGTCATCACAGACGAACATCGCCAAGCAACACCTCACCCCTTAGAAGACGAAGTTCGTCATTTGAGACGAAGTTCACTCAGAAACGAAGTTCGTCATTGAAGATGAAGTTCTCCTAGAGACGAGGCATGTGTTATAATATAATATAGTAAGCATGTTGATAATAACTATATATTAATTATATTTAATGTATTATGTTAGATGTTATATTAACACCTCAAACTCAAAACCAAAACACCACACTCAAAAACCCCTAGAAGATGTTTTGAAATAAATGATATGTTTTTGGTTTGAGAATGATTTAGCTAAAAAATATTATAGTTTCTAAACACATGTTGTTTTTTGGCCAAAACACAATAAAAATAAAAAAAACACTATGATATCCAAACAAAGCCTAACTACTATTACCTTTATATATCACAGATTGTAATGAAAGAGATCACATTAGCGATGTATCTATATGCGAATCTAACTTTTCAGCAAAAGAAGTATTAACATGAAGTTAACCAGTCAAAATATAATGTTTCTTATAAAACATTTTATTGTTTTTCTCTCATCGAAGGTGGTCTTGAATTGGAGACCCTTGTGCAGTTCTTGGATTCATCTTAAAGAGCTTATATAAAGGAGAAATTTTAAAATAGATCCATTTAAAATTTTATTCTCCACAATCGTCTCATTTGAAATTTATTTACAAAACCCGACTTAGTTTTGACCATGTCAGCAGCGTGGGTTGAAACTGAGCCGATTTTTAAAAAACGCTTTCTTTTTAATTAGTCGGGTTTGCCAATCTCGACTAATTAGACACTAGTTTAATTACAAAAGTTAGTACTAGGGGTTGAAACTACAGTTCAAAATAGTAATGGTTACCAATCCCGACTATTTAGAAGGTTAATTAATCAGATTACTAATTAGTCGGGTTTGACAATCTCGACTAATTAGAAAGAAATCTTCTAACATGGTTAAAACTGGGTCGATTTTTTGTGAATATGTTTGAAATGGGGCGATTCTAGTGAATAAAGTTACAAATGGGTCTTGTTGGCACTAAAAAATGCCAAGAAACAAGAGAGTGACGAAGCTCGTCATTGGTGACGAGGTTCGAACCTCGTCACTGAAGCTCATTCAAAAGACAAAGTTCGTCAGACAAAGGTCATCACAGACGAACATCGCCAAGCAGCGCCTCACCCCTCAGAAGACGAAGTTCGTCATTTGAGACGAAGTTCGCCCAGAAACGAAGTTCGTCATTGAAGACGAAGTTCTCCTATAGACGAGGCTCTCAATGCCTTATTCTTCAGTAGACGAAGCTCCTTCAGGAAACGAAGCTCGTCAGTGAAGACAAAGCTTTTGTAGTTCGTCAGAAGAAGTCCACGAGACTTGCTATGCAGCTGGACTCGACCATCAAAGACGAAGCTCACCATATAGCGAAGCTTATAAATAGCCGCAAGCAGCTATGAAGAAACCAACGGAGTTAGCTCAATCAGAAATCGGATTTTTGGCAGTGTTCGCGCTTAAGCTTGGAGAAGCTCTTTTGGAGATCCTAACCTCAGACTAACTTTCTCCTCGAATTGAAGCGATCTTGCTTCGATCGTCAACGAGAAGTAAGCTCGACGCGAGCATCGAGCGAGGCGTCTCATCGCCACACAGAACCACACGTTAAACAAAGGAGGAGCCAAATCAACATCCCCTCTTCCGTACTTAAAGAAAAAGCAATTATAAAGAAATTTTTACCGGGCGATAGAACCTCGTCAGTCAAGGGGATCAATCACAGGACCCTACATGCCTGTTTTAAAATTTTGTCCTCGTATATAAATTCTAATCCTTCAACTGTTGTTCATGTGATGGCTTTCTGTCATCAAGATTATAAACTAAATTATTGCGGGATCATCATACTGCTTCATACGGTTTAGTGAGGGCGGGGCCCACAGCTCACGTGAAGAGAGGTGGTGCCTGTCCCCACCAAAGAAGACCAGAGAGGAGCAGAAAGACAGGAGTTGGGTTCAGGATTTTAGAAGCAGGCCAAGGAAAAAAGGGCGTTCGGTACGTAGAAGCGTTTTAAAATCCCCCTCTATCACCTCCCACCCAATGATCCTTCACCTCCCACGTGATCACCCTGGCCCCCTCTCCCATCCCATCGCATCTCCTCCTACTTATTTAAGCTCCTTTATATATACGATCACCCTCCGCTTCACTTCAACTACTACTACTACACCTCTTGATCTCTCTCTTGGCTCTTAAATTAATCTTTTATCATGGGTGAATCCTCTGCTTCCTACATTAGAATGGTAAAGATAGCATCCTTAGTAAATACCCATAGCCCCCTTTTTTTTTAAAAATTTTATTTTGGGTGTATAAAATCCAACTTCAACTACTATAGCTTTTTGCATGTCATTAATAAAGTGCTTTTGTTTCATTCATGCAGGTGCAACACTTGATAGAGAAGTGCCTCCTTTTCCACATGAACAAGGAGGAGTGCATGGAAGCCCTTAACAAGCACGCCAACATCATGCCGGTCATCACTTCAACCGGTAATTATTTTTGTATAAATCTTCTCTTCAGACTTTGTGATCAAGCCTTGTTAATTAGCTAGAATCTCTCTTTTTTATTTTTCGAAAAAAAAATCGGAACGGTTTCATCCTCGACTACGAGAACAGGAAGCCCCCGAATCTCTGCATGGAAGAAGTTGCAGGAATAAAAACGGTAGTTCCTGCAGGAGACCGGATGAGGATCCGAGTCGCGCGCTAAATTACACAAAATGCATGAGTTGCTTATGTTATGTCATTGCGCATCCGAATTATTTTTTTCCTTCGATGATGTCTTTTGCGCGCGCGCGTCTAAATTTGTATTTTTTTTATGATCAGTTTGGACGGAACTGGTGAAGGAGAACAGGGAGTTCTTCGAGTCGTACGCAAGAGGCAGAGAGGAGCGAGCTTTGGAGATGGAGACGATGCAGAGGATCCAGAGGATGCTCCAAGAAACAGCGGCCAGAGATCCCGACGACGACTAACTCCTCACTCCCAAGAACTCAGGACTCAAAAACATCCGTCCTCCTCCAACCTGCGGCCAGGAGATCGCTAGCGGTCACTGGTCTCCCGTCTGTTAATGCTAGATTCCTAGTGGCAGGATCTCGTAAATAACTAGAATAAAAATTCATGCTTGTACAAAGCTGATGTCTCTGTTGATCGGGACCGGGGGCTGCGTTCTTTACTGTACACGTGGCAGCGTTGTATTCCTCGGTTAGCGACGGCTCGTGAGCCGTGACGCCTGTCGACTCGCGGGCCTTTGATGATGGCTCATGAACTATAAAGGCCATGGTGCAGGAGAGTTGCATGCATATATTGTACAAATAGAATGCATAATTTGAAGTGAGTGAAAGCAACATTCCATCGAGAAGAAACTTCTGGTTTTAGATAAAAATATTTTCACATGCCTCATTAGATCGTGATAATAGCAATTGATCACGTGAACAATGTTTGTCGAGTGCAGATTCCGTCAGAATTGGCGGTGGGATCACGCACGCAGCTCTAGCTAGCCCCGCTTGGTTTGGGTGTTGGGTAAAAATCCCTCGCTATCTAGCTCAAAATGCTCTGCACCGAGCGGGGTGTTCTGATAAGATATGCGCTCATGCTTATTTGCTTCTAAACATTCTCAAAACAAAGAAAATTTAAATACCATAGTGAAACGAAAAGAAAAAAAAGAAGTTTCTTTAAACATATTGTTGACAATGCAATTTTCTTCAAAAGTTCTTTTTAATGGGGGTAACTCTGTCAACTATGACTAGTCAAAAATAAAAATAAAAAACAACACAGAAGGAAGAGATAAATATCTTAGATAAATACAACACTTTCGAAAAGTAAACCGTATAATTTGTTAACGATTGTTAATAGAATTGAAGGAATTATTCAATAATTTTTGGAGTTAATTAGCACTTACATATCTAATATTTCACACTCTGCAAATATATTTTCTCATCATCTATTTTTTTGCAGCTCTACCCGGAAGTTTTTTAAGATTTGCACTTTAATACATTCTTTTTATGCAAACCTGAGAATATTCCCCAAAGATCCCATTGGACACACAAATGCTTTGATGCTCCGAAAATAAGAATTTTTATAATTTTTAAATGGATGTAAAATTAAAATTTTGGGCTGAAAATAACAAGGGTGCATTTGTCCTTTTCTTTTCAATTCCTATCCTATTATTTCTCTGTCCATAACCACTTCACCCACCTCCCTTGTTTCACGTTTACTAGGTGAATTGCACACGTGCAATGCACATGGTATACTTTTTAGATTTAGTTAAAATTGATAATTTAGTTTAGCCTAATTTGGAGCTTATATACATGTTTAAACAAACATATAATAGTGTAATTTTCAGATTTTTATTTTTCAATGTACAAAAGAATATAAATCAATACAATTTATTACACTTATTTCTAAATGAATATTTTCTCGTAAATGGGGTATCAAATTGTTAATGTTAGTATGTAGAAAGATCCTCTGACTTAGTTCTAAATCTTTTCAGTGAAAATATAAATAAAAGTATAATTTTACAGTCGACAGTTAATTTTTTATTCCTCTTTATAATGATAAGAAAGGAATTGACATATGCATGTTATGCATAATTTTATACAATATGATTAAAAGCAAGAACAATAATATCTATTTTAAACACAACTTTGCATTATAATACCAGTTTTTTGTCATAAATATGGAAGGAAAAATAGAAGAGAGAAATCTAATATGATAGAATACGGCTAAATTAGATTTTGTTAAAGATCAAGTGAGAAATTAGTTGAAGAAAACTAACCCTTCTCAAATATTAGTTTTATCCTTTTCTATGATGTTTTCAACTCCAAAACTACCCTCTAAGTTCAACCTATTTACAAATGTAGGTGTGGAAGGCCTATCAACCGCATAATCCCTTAAATTGTGGATTAGAGAGCTAGATTTTTGGCTTTTCTATTTACAGAAGATGCCATGGAGCACCGAAGCTGTTGGCTTTTTTTTTATAGAACTTCGTAACTCTTAATTTTTGTCAAACTTTCTTTTAGAACTCCTTTGGTTCTATTTTAAACCTATCTAAATTATTTTTATTAAATTAGAATTGAGATAGATTTTATAATAAAATTTTACTAAAAAAAATAAGCGTCAAAAGGTTTTTTACAATTAGCATGTGAGTGTCATGTAGAAATTTTCAGGAGAATACTATCATGTTTGCATACCAAAGGGTATTAATGTGCAAATTTAAAGAATTTGGGTCATAACTTACATAGGTTCTGCCATGAACAAGTGAAATGCATATTAGTGCTAAGAAGTAGACACTATGGGGTATTTAGGTACATATTAGCCTAATTTTGCGCTGGGGCCCAAAATCGGGCCCAACATTGGATAAAGTAATTTCTAACCGCTTCGGATCACTCTCTCTCCTCTCTCTTCAGGGTTTTAGTCGCCTCCTCCTCCTCCTCTCTCTCTAGGGTTTTGCGATGGATTCCCTCTGTAAATCCTCGTTCCATTCAAACCCTAGCCTCTCGCTCTCCGTCCTCCCATCTCGATCTTCCTTCCTCAAGCCCCAGTTCTCTCTTCCCCTAAAACCCTCCTCCTCCAAAACCCTAACCCTGATCACCACCCGCGCTTCACGAAACCCAAACCCTAACCCTAGCTCCAATCCAACCCAAACCCTAATCTCCACCGTCGTCAAGCCCGCCCTCATCGGCTCCCCCAACTGCTCCACAATCTGAAACCCTAATCGGCGAGCTCAACGAGCAAACCCTAGAATCCCGCCTCCAGTCCAACCCCGCCGATGTCACCTCCCTCCGATCCCTAATGGAGCTCAAAGTCAGATCCCGCAAGCTCCCTGAGGCCATCACCATTGCTGATCGACTGATCGAGCTCGAGCCCGGCGAAAATGACATTCCTATTCTCAAAGCCCACCTTCAGAGCTACAATGGAGAGACTGAGTCTGCAAAATTAGGGTTTGAAGAGATCCTATCCAAAAACCCTTATCTTGTTGAAGCTTATCATGGGCTTATTACGATGGTGTCACAATCGGGGGCTGATGGGGAATTGAATGAGATTTTGAAGAGGGTTGAGGATGCAATGGCAATGTGTAAGAAGGAGCAAAGGAAAGCGGAGTTGAAGGATTTTAAGCTGTTGATTGCTCAGGTTAGAGTGATAGAAGGGAAATATGCGGAGGCTTTGGAGATTTATGAAGAGTTGGTTAAGGAGGAACCGAGGGATTTTAGGCCGTATTTATGTCAAGGGATTATATATACTTTGATGAGGAAGAAGGATGAGGCGGCAAAACAGTTTGAAAAGTATAGGAAGCTTGTGCCAAAGGGGCATCCTTACGCTCAGTTCTTTGATAATAATATGGGCATGATGAAGGGGTTCTCAGCCATGGAGTAGAGTGGAAGAGTGGAGGTTTATTTTTAAGAATGAGAAATTTGAGGTAAGATTTGTTTGGCAATTTTTGTTTGATTGTAGATTGCTAAATTTTTGGGTCTTATATCTATATTTCGTATGAACTAGGTATTTATTTGGCAATTTGGTTGGTTAGTGAAACTTTTAGTTTATGTAAATAGGTCATGCCTTAATATCCCCTAAAATTTAGTGATTTTTTCCATAAGTGTTGAGTATGCTCTACGTTTATGATTGTTGAATTGTGCTTCACTATGGAAGTTGTGTTTATTTTTCTGCCTAATTGTTCAGTATGCTTTCTTTGGTGTCTTGGTTAGTAAAATATGATGCTCCATGAGGTGTATTTGAAAATTTGAATGATGATTGAGCTACCAACATAATCATGATAGGTTGGTATTGAAGCAAGCATAATAATGATAGGTTGTCATTGAAGTAATCTCCCAATAAATAGTTTCTTGAATCTCATTGTGAGATTTAGCTTAGAAATTCATAACTTGCTCATATCCAATGATGGCTAGCTAATCATGACTGCTTTGCTTTATTTTTCCATCTTAAATTTTTTAGTATTGGAATTATGTGAGGGTTAGTTTTTAAGAATCGTGGCAATGTGAGGTAGTCCTGACTTCCCTTAGATTTGTTTCAGTCTGGCTAGAAATGTTTGGGTATGTTTGTCCATTTGAACCATCTTAAATTTTTTTAAGCATTTGAGTTATGTGAGGGTTAAAGTTAAGTATCGTGGCAATGTGAGATGGTCCTGACTTCCCTTAGATTTATTTTAGTTTGGCCAGAAACTTTTGGATATGCTTCTCCATTTGAACTACAAACTATTGTTAGAAATTTGAACTGTGTATAGTTAATTGTCATTAGGTCAAAATAAATGAAAATAGATCGTGAGTTTCCCATGAAAATTGCAAAATGTTGAACTTCATACTTATTGTTAGTGGATCGAAAGAGATGAAAATGAAAGAAAGTTGTGGGTTATAACTCATAAAAATTGCAAATTTTGAAATATTCATTCTTAATTGTTATGAGGATGAAACAAATGAAAATTGACAAAAATCGTCTGTTTGAACTTGTGAACTCATGAATTTCAAAATACACATACTTAAATATCGTTGGATCAGGAATGAGGACTAAAATCAATGTTTTAACAAGCGGGCCTAGTTGCCTAGGCGCCCGCCTAGGTCATGGGAGTGCCTATAAGAGGGGCTTCTGCTTATACAGACTGCATTGCTTAGGTTAGTTATGATTTGTTCCGCTGTAGCCTCTATGTTCTCCACCGTCCGAACTTCTACGGGCTTCTCCACTAACAAACACCTCTAACTTTCCAAGAACCTCCATTACCATTTAAAGAAAGAAAGAAAAATCTGCTTAGGTGCTAGTCCGGCGCCTAGTGCTTTCTATAACATCAACATTTATTATCAATTGTTGTAAATAAAAAATAAAAAATAGAAAAACCACCTAGGCCCTGTTTAGACTCCTGCCTAGGTGCCTAGGCCGTATAGAGCATATGGCTTTTTGTATCCTTGACTAAAATCATAGATTACTATCCATGAACATCGTGAATTTTAAAATACGTATACTTAATTGCTACATGGTCAAAAGGAACGAATATGAAAAAATTGTGGATATAACCTATAAACGTAGCAAAATTTGAAGTACCCCTCGTTGCTATTGGGTCGAACAGAGTGGAAATTGATTTAAATTGTGTTATAGCTCATAAAAATCGTGAATTTTAAAATATGGTTTAGTTATCACTGGGTCAAAACGAATGAAAATGAGCAAATAATGTGGGTATTAACCCATGAAAATAGAAAATTTTGAAATACCCTTGTTTAATTTTCGTTTGATTGAAAAGAAAAAATGAAAATAGTTATAGGTCATGAAAATCAAGCAATTTTGAAGTATATGCATATTTGACTGCCATTAGGTGAAATGAATGAAAATGGACAATAATCATAGGTTAGTCTCTAAAATTGTGAATTTTAAAATACACATACTTAATTGCTATTGAGTAGAAAAACCTAATATGAATGAAATTTGTGAGTTATAGCCTATAAAATTGCGAATTTGTAACTAAACATACTTAATTGATGTTGATTCAAAATGAACCAAAATTAACAAAGTCGTGGCTTATAGTCCTTTAATATTCGTGAATTTTGAAGTACGCATACTTAATTGTCATAAGGTTGAAAGAAACGAAATTGAATAGAAATCATTGCTTAGCATATGGAAGTCATGAATTTTGAAGTACACATACTTGATTGTCATTTAGTAAAAAAAAGAAGAAAACAAAATTGATAACAACATGGGTTAGAGTACATTAACAAAAATCGATTTAACTCGTGGGCTATTCATGAAAATCATGAATTTGAAGTACACATACTTTATTGCCATTTGGTTGAAATGAACGAAAATGAAGAAAAATTGTGGGTTATATAGCCCATGAAAATCACGAATTTTGAACTACCCATTAATTGCCCTTGGATTGAAACACACGAAAATAGACAAATTTTAGGTTATAGCTCATGAAAATTGTAATATTTTGAAGTATATATACTTAATTTCATTGGCTAGAACTAGAAATGAATGGATGATGATTGGGGGTTATAACTCATGAAAATCGTAAATTTTGAGGCACACATAGTTAATTGTCATGGGTTAAATAGCCTATGAAAAGCGCGTGTATTGAAAGTAAGGATAACTAATTGTCATTGAATCAAGACATGAGTATAGACAAAAATTCGGTTAGTAAGCCAAGATCTAAGCTCTAAGATCTTTGTTGCTGATGATGGAAACTCCCTAAAAATGAATGCCGATCTCCAAAAGATTCCCCCGAACTCAGTTGAATTTTTCGCCATTTATATGGGTTTTAGGGGTGTAACCACCCCCTAAAATCTCTCCTTAATGGGGATGTAACCGACCACGTTTCGTGGAAAACGGTTTTGAAACCGTTCAATGGTTTAAGGGGTGTAATCGCCCTTTAAAATCTCTCCATAATGGGATGTAACCGACCCTATTAAGTGGAGATACGGTTTTGAAACCGTTCAGGTTCTGTTTGAACCAGTCAAACGTTAAAAGTGACGTTCTGGGCCTGAACTCTGCGTTTTAGACCTAAAACGTAGAGTTGGACATGTGCTTGAGGCTGAAAACGCCGTGTTCGCACAGCGTTGTGAATCTGAAACGCAGAAATGAACTTTGTGTTTTGGAATTTTAAAGAGATAGTTGACTTCTAATCTCTTTCATTAGGGCATTAGCAGAGATTGTCATTTTGTAATCTCCACCTTAGCTTCTTAAAATGTGGGAGTCATCAGATTGTAACTCATGCAGTTATCTGTGAAGACTACTGAATCAGAGTTTCCATCGATTATCGTGAAGATCGTCGAATTGTAACTTTCTCGATATACGTGAAAATCTTCTAATTGTAGCTTTCATTTGTTGATGTGAAAGTCATTTGTCTGTAACTTTCATTGTTGAATTGTTTATGAAAGTCGTCAAATTGTAACTTTCATTGTCGGTGTTTAATGGCGCTCAACAGTGATTTTTAGACAGCTTACAATACTTTATTGTCATATGCATACTTTATTGTCACTGGGTCAAAATGAATGAGAACAAAGAAACATTTTGGGTTATAGCCTACGAAAATCACGATTTATTGCACTACCAATACTTAACTGTTATTGGGTTGAAACACAAGAAAATAGACAAACGTTGTAAGTTATAGCTCCGACAAGTAGCAAGGTTTTGTAGTATGTTAATTTCCATTGGGTGGAAGTTACCATAAATGAACAAAATTCGTGGTTATAACCCATGAAAATTCTAAATTTTGAAACATGCATAATTAATTGTTATTGGGTTAAAACGAACAAAAATTGACAAATCTTGTGTCAGATAGCCCATGAAAGCCATGAATATTGAAGTACGTATAACTAATTGCCATTTGGTTGAAGCGAATGAAAATAGGCAAATCATGGATTATATAGCTCATAAATATTCGCGAAAATTTGAAGTATGCATGCTTAATTATTATTGGGTTAAAACAAACGAAAATGGATAAAAATTATGGCTTAGCTTGTAAAAATTGCAAGATATGAAGTATGTGTAGTTAATTTCCATTGGTGGGAACCAACAAAAATTTGTCAAAACTCGTGGGTTATAACCCATGAAAATTGTTAATATTAAAGTATGTGTAACTAACTATTATTAGGTCAAAACAAATAAAGATGGACCAATAATTGGCTAGCACATGAAAATTGTGAATTTTGAACTACACATAACTAATTGTCATCGGGTCGAAATGTACGAAAATTGAAAAAAATTTATGGGTTATAGCCTATGAAAAATTTGAATTTGGAATTCCTTAATAGTTAATTGACATTACGTCAAAATGAATGGAAATTAAAATGATCGAGAGTTATAACCTATGAAATTGCAAAGTTTTTAAGTACATATACTTAATTTGTCATTAGGTTGAAACATACAAAAATAAACAAAAATCATGGGTTATATAGTCCATTAAATCGTGAAGTTTGAAGTATGCATACTTAATTGTTATTGGGATGGAAAGAATGAAAATTGAATAAAATTATTGTGGATTATAACCAATGAAAATTGTGAATTTTGAAATACACATACTTAATTATCATTGAGTTGAAAAATGAAAATTGTAAACTTGATTAGAGTCCATGGAATCGTGAATTTTGAAATACTTGTACTTAAATATCATTGGATCAAAAGGAACGAAGATTAAAATCATAGATTATAACCCATTAAATTCATGAATATTAAGATATACATACTTAATTGCTAAAAATAAATAAAAATTGTGGGGTATAACCAAAAAAATAGCCAAATTTAAAGTATCCATACTAAATTGTCATTGCGTTAAAGTGAACTAAAATTGACTATAATTGTCGGTTATAGCCTGTGAAAATTGTGAATTTTGAAATATGTGTACTTAATTGTCACGGAGTCCGAACAATGAAAAATGAACAAAAATTGTGGGTCCATTGAGAATATCAAATTTTGAAATATTCATTAGTCGCCATAGATTATAAAGAAAGAGAATGGACAAAAAAGTTGGTTGTAGCTTGTAGGTCATGAAAATCGAGTAATTTTGGAGAATGAATTCTTAAATGTCAATAGGTAGGGAAAATACTGGACAATGATTGTGGGCTATAGCCCCTGAAAGACGTGAATTTCGAAATACACATAATTGATATTGCGTACAAAAAAAATGAAAATGGAAAACAAAGTGTGAGTTGTAGCCTATAAAATCCCGAAATTAGAACTACACAAACTTAATTGCTATTGATTCGAAATAAAGGAAAATTGACATAAATCATTGGTTATTGCCCATGAATAATCGCAAAAATTTGTAGTATGCATGCTTAATTGCAATTAAATTGAAACGGATGAAAATTGATAAAAATCGTGGCTCCTATCACGTAGTTTGAACTTTGAAGTATCAATATTTAATCGTCATTTAATTGACAGAAATAAAAATTGTTAAAAATCGTGGGCTGGCCCATTAAATTGCAAATTTTGAGATACACGTGCTTAATTGTCATTAGTTCGAAAAAAATGAATATTGACTAAAATCGGGGGGTTGCGGTCCACAAAAATTGTGAATTTTGAAATACATATGCTTTAAAGCTACTAGGCTGATATATACAAAAATGAAGAAAATTTGTGGATTATGGCTAATGGAAATCATGAATTTTGAACTACCGTGCTTAATTGTCCTTGGGTTGAAAAACAAAAAATGGACAAAAGTTGTAGGTTATCATAAATTTGGATTATGTATTTAATTTCCATTAGGTGGAAAACTGGACAAAAATCGTGAATTTTGAAAATCATAAATTTTGAAATGTGCATAATTAATCACCATTGGGTTAAAATGTATGAAAATGGTCAAAAAGTAGTGAGTTATGTATATGTAGCCCATGAAAATCGTGAATATTAAAGTATGTACAACAAATTGCTATTGGGATGAAAATGGACAAAACACATTCGTTATAGCCTTTGAAAACCATGAATTTTGAATTATGCATAGTTAGTTGTTATGGATCGATATATACAAAAATTAGCAAAAATCTTGAGTTAGCCCATGAACATCATGAATTTTGAATTACATATAGTTTACTTCTATTAGGATGGAACAAATGAAATTAACAAAAATCGTGTTATAGCCTATGAAAATTGTGAATTTTACAAATATGCATACTTATTTCATTGATTACATTTGGAGCCCACCTTTTTCATCTTCTCTCAATCCATTATTTATCGTCATTTAGAGCTGCATATCAAGGTTCTGGCCAATAAAGGGATTGAATTTTTTCCTTTTTAATTTCTTTTTTAATCTAGGAGATGCTCGTGGAAGTGCAATTCATCATCATCTTTTACTTCATAAAATCTGAACAGGTTCTTGTTTGTCAATATCTGTTTATTTTATGTTGCTCTACTGAAGAGGTTTCAGTAACTTGCAAATTGGTGAGTTTTCAGTTATTTTCAGGATAGCTTCTCCTTTTGTTTGTTAATCAACACATTGACTTGGTCTGTTTATAAATACAGCATCCTGCCTACCTACTCCAACTGGCTTTTGGGAAAATTTGGCCCATCTTCTTAATTCAGTCATAGCTGGGATCTGCTCACCCCCCAGCTCAGTGCTGAACAACAGAAAGCTTAGTTTGATGAGATCTACCCTATACAAGGGTGCTCGGTACTGGTATTTTCTGGTTGCAGGAATAAATTTTCATCATTTCATATCAAACTGATGAAGCCATGCATGGGGCCGAGCTTTTTATCTGGGAAGTGATACTTAATTTATCATCTTTTTTTTCCTCCCTCTTTGTAAGGTCAAGTAGCAAAATTTTATGAAGGTTTCTTGTTTAATGATATAATAGTCTTGGTTTCGCTCGCCATTTAATTCCCGAGTGTGAGCATTTATAGTTATGTAGTTGCCTTGTTTGGAATTAATTTTGCTGAACAAAAGAGCAAGTGACATGGATGCAGGAAGATCAAGGCTCATGCTACAAATTATAGCAGGGGGTGCACGCATTTGGGTTGAAATGGATTTCTAGTATTTTTCTGGAAGAAATGAGGACAAATGTTTGTTTGCATGGGAGCAGGAATCCTGGGTTTTAGCATGTGCGGCTTTTGGAAGCTTTAAAACCAATCATTGATCTTGCTGCTCGCCTTGTGCCTTGTAAAATGTTTTTTTTTAAAGTTTAGTTATGATAATTCAAAAAAGAATATGATCTTTTTCAATTTCTAATTATGAAAAGTCGTGAAACTGACTTGAAAGAAAGAGGGAAATGAAATGAGTTGGAAAGAGGGGGGGAAGTATATATCTGGATAGTTCAAAATTTAGTCAGCGGGAGAGAGAGCTGTACAGACGAGTACAAAAGAAAGCAATGGGATGGGTTAACTTGCACTTAAATGCCCAATAATTTCATAATCCGTGCACTTTAATGTTCTCTATTTTAAAACCGTGTGCTTAAATGTCCTAAAATACTAAAGTGTTGTTGTAGATAAAGACCCTTAAAGTTTTGAAATGTTGCAAGTTAGTGCCCTCTTGTTTACATAATGTTGTACGTTGGTGTCCTCTTATTTATACAATATTGCCTATAAATACTCTCACTTTGTAAATGGTCTCACTTAAATACTCCTAAAGTTTTTAGAGGTATTTTTTTCGCTTGGCTTTAAAATACGAAATACTTGTGCAGTTTTAGCCTATTAGATGGAGAAAACAAGCGACGACGGAATAAATTACTAGAAAGAGTAAATTAGGGGAAGAAATATAATATATGACTTGCACATAATTATAATTAAAACTTCAGTTAACTCCATCTAAAGAGAGAAAAATATTTTACCAGTTTGCTCCGATAGGATACTTTCTCAAGTCTAACGAGTTGAAAGTCACTTTCGAGCAGTTGGGCCCTAACCTACCCTGGAAGTGTCTTTGTATTTCAAACCATTTAAAAAAAAAAAAGAATCGGTTTCTTCCTCTCTGAATCCCATCGGTCGTCTACTTTGGTCAGTTTGACTTCCTCTCTTTTGTCTAAACTAAACCTATTAACTTAATCCCCAAATTTTGAAGAAGAAAATCCCGAGAGCAAAATTAGCTCTCTTTTCTCTGTA